TTAATAAAGGCATTGCAGAACCCAGCCAGGCTTGTCACTTCTGGACAAGGAGCTGCACCCTCCTGTGAGAAACATTAGGACTTAGGAAACTTGCATGGGGATATTTATAGCATGGCTCCTTCCTGGGATGGAGAGAAACTTATTTTTGAATACCAGAGAGCAGAAATAGGCCAGCTCTGAAGGTGAAAAGGTATGAACTTCTATTTGGGGAACACTGCACGACTGCAGTCGCATGCAAAGGAAACTAGCAGTGGGTAGAGTCAGGTCAGGTTCTGCCTTGACTTGCAGTACCTTTGAGACCCCCAAGGCCAGATTCTGCTCCTTTATTCAGTGCTGCAACCAGACCTGAATATAAGGAAGGCAGAATCTGGACATTTGTTTTGTATTTCTCTCTATTTTTGCACTCTTAACCAGGTATGTGCCAGGCCCCAAATGTTCCTTGGAAGGGAATCTGAGAGGTAATAGGTGCTGATGTGAAGTGACAGATCTGCAACTTATGATCACAATGAATATCCATGATTGTGGTGGAGTTTATCCCTGCATTTTTTGAGAGAGGATGAAATTATGTATTGAATACAAACTGCCTTTCCATTAGATATGCTATTATTGCCTTGGATCAAATTAGCCCTTTAAGCAAGGCCTGCTTGCCATTTTCACAATTCTGGCTTTTAATCATCTCCAGCTTGTAAATTCCTCCTTCATAGGCTAAGCCTGCTGGAAGGATTTCCATGCAGCTGACAGAAGTGCTTTGTAGAAGCGGCCCCTCTTTTGTCCTGGGGAATTACAACCCTATAAGTCTTCATTTTACTTGACATTCCAATTTGCAGCTTGGATGCCACAAGAAATGCCTTGGGTTTTGGTTTAGTGATGAAACTTGTGATATTGCAAGTGTAACAGAAAAATGAAGATCTGTAAAGGCCCAGTTAAGCTTTCCTTTGCTAATGTACATAGCCAGCCTGACAGGAAGAAAAACCTCTCTTCAGCCGAGATATGTAGATATATGCTTACTGTCAAACACAAAAGCCATGGAGATGAGGTACTGGGTTGGTTTTATCATGGCTGAGATTGGCTCAGCTGGTCAGAGCATGGTGCTGATAACACCAAGCTTGTGGGTTTGATCCCTCTATGGGCCACTCAATTCAGAGCTGGACTCGTGTTCCTTGTGGGTCCGTTCCAACTCAAAGTATTCTATGATTCCGTGACAACAGAGGGAAAAAGAAAAGTGTGGAAAGCCTTATGAACCCTCAGAAAGGATCTGCTTTGCTGCTCTGTTTAATATTCTGCGTGTATGGGGATGAGTGCCAGTTTACCAGCTGGAAGAGCTGGGGTTTTCTAGGAGATGCCAAAGTCTTACACTCATAGAATCATAGAATTATTTAGGGTGGAAAAGGTATCTAAGATCATCGAGTCCAACCATTAACCAAACATTGCCAAGAATATTAGAGCACTTCTTGCTTTCTGTCTAGAAGACCTTCCTCATGTCCAAGTGAGTGCCAAGAAAGTTGCTGTCACACAACATGGTTTGGCTTCCTCCCTGGCCTCAGGGATTCGTTCTATTTTGATCTTCCCTTCTCTTCAGTCCTCTGAAATTTGTAGAGGGAATGACCTAAACTAAAAAGGCCATAAGTTTAATTGTGTGGGAAAATGAGCTCCTACAGGCAAAATTTTCCCAAGAAGCCAAAAATTTGGACATCTGGAAGCTTTCCTCTCCATCACTCAGAGTAAGGATGGTTTGTTGCCTTGAGTAAGAAGCAGGATTTGATGTGATCCATAAACCCCTCATCTCTTCTGCAATAGCCCTGGTCAGCCAAACCAGATGGGTGGCAGGGGCATCCTACTGTGCCTCAGCTATTTTGTTCTCAGCCACTGACAAAGCAGAGCCCATAGGGATGATTTCCTAGTCAAAGAGGGGGTGCCATGGAGGTGGTTGTGCCATTATGGAGATTTATTTGTCACCTTTTGCTCATGTAACAGGGAGAAATCGATGCATGGAAATAACCATTTTCCTCTCTCCTCAATAACTTAGTTCAAATCTGCAGAAGGCTTTTTGGGGCTTCACTGCTTTCAGCAGTGGGCCTTTGGGATTGTGCACAGAGACATAACAATTTTCTCTTGGGACTGCTTTTGCACTTTGTTTCAAGGCTGTCCAATGTGGGAACAACACCAAAGCAGTTGGCCCTTGTAAAAAATATTCCTTTTAGCAGAGCTACATTTCCCTGCAGGCAAAGGGAGCTGTAAGGCTACTCTAGCTGATAAGTTCTGGGTGGGATGAGGGAAAGTGTTGTAATGCTGTAGTTCCACCTAACTCTGCCATCTCCACTCGCATCTACCCAGGCTTTAAGTGTCAGAGATATCTGCTACCCATCTGTGACCTTCATTTCTGCAGACCACCCTCATTTTCTGCAGTGCAGAAGACACAGTAGCAGTAACCTTAGCAGTCAAATGCCAAAGAAGCCAAGAGCAGGCTGTCATTAAGACACATGCACTGGGGACCTTGTCCTGAAGGTTCACCTTGCATTTTCCATGCTCTTTCCCTTCAGTCTGAGGCTTCCCCCAAGTATGGCTTGAAGCAATAGATCATTAAAAGTGGGATAACACTTTGGTTTTCTTTTCTCTCTGCTTCCACAGGCTGAAGGAGAAAGCTGTGTTGTAAGGTGGAGTCCTGGGGCTGAAGCTGGTGGCCAAGAATTAACTTAATGTCTGTACCAGCTGTTGCTTTCTATGCTTCTCTTCTCAAAGGCTGGTGCTGCCTTTGCTGTGCACCAAGGAGGAGGCAAGGTGCTTTTTAAAACTCCTCATACTCTTTAACGTGGCTGATGATTTATGTGCGTGTGCTCAGGTGCTAAATGACTTTCTGCAGCGTTTGAAGTTTGGTGAATGAATAACCACCTCTCACCTGGGCAGAGCAGCACAGACTTTGTGCTCTGCTGAGGGCAACAATAAAACCTGGTCAGGCTTCTCCAGCATTAAGGTGACATGAAGGCAGCCTTTCCCCCTCTGACAGTAATCCTAAAACATGTCATGTCCTTCATGCCTTCTTCTGAAAAGCCACAGAAATGATTTTTAGTGCTTTTGCTCTCTGCTAAGCTGTCAGACCTGGTGCAGTCTCAGTTCTAGCATTTCTAGGCTGGAGGTGAGACCGTACAGGTTTCCCAGCTCAATTCTCCATAAGCTTTCAAGGAGGAGCAGTCATCTGGGACAGAGCTGAGTCTCTTAGCTAAAAAAGAGAGGAAGGTGCCCTCTGACAAGCCAGTGCTGTCAGCCATGGCAAAGCTCACATTTTTCCTGAGGAAAGGGTAGATTGTTGCTTTATTTTCAAGGCAACATCTAGGTTTATGCATTCAACAGTGCTGTCAGCCATGGCAAAGCTCACTCTTTCCTGAGGAGAGGGTAGATTGTTGCTTTATTTTCAAGGCAACATCTAGGTTTATGCATTCAGGGCTGAATTCTCACATTTGGGTGTCCACAAAGCCCTCGAGTCCAATGCTAGCTCTCTGTACACTGTAAGGGATGAGCTTGCCTGCTGCTGTGGTGGGCCTAGCATGCAGAAAGGCCTGTCTTTCCAGGGAAAGGCAGCAGTCCTGTGGTCACAATTACATCAGATTGTCCCCATCTCTCGGTTCCCTGCAGACTGTAGGAGTGCTGGCTGCCCTAGCATGCTGACCCTCCACTGTCTGAAGCAGCCTTTTCCCAGCCAGATTTCTGCTCTGCTCTGGTGTGCAATGTGCCCCTTGAGCAGATCAGCAGACACCTCACCCACCGTGGGAGGCACTGGATTTATGGAGCTTGTGCTTGTGAGCCCACAGAGTGAGCACAGCTAACACGCGAGGAGGGCTTTGCCAAGAGCTTGGCCTGGGGCTGGAGGCTGCTTGGTGCAGCAAGGAGGGAGAGCACCTGCCTTCCCCAGCAGGTTACAGCCAGCTGCAGGTCACCTGTGCTGCCTGGTTGGAGACTGGGCTCTTGCCACTGAATTGGTGCCACCAACACCCCAGCTGAGCTCTCAGAGGCTCTGGAGTGGATGTGTCTGTGAGAGGAACAGGTTGCCCAGAGAGGCTGTGGATACCCCATCTTTGGAAGTGTTCAAGGCCAGGTTGGATGGAGCCCTGAGCAATCTGATCTGTTGGAAGGTGTCCCTGCCCATGGTGGGGGGTTGGAATGGGATGCTCTTTAAGGTTCCTTCCAATCCAAACAATTCTGTGATTCTACAATTCTATAATTCTGTGATTCCATGATTCTGTGACAAATAGTTGCACGTGTTCTCATGTCTGAAATCAGTTCTCTCACCACAGGCTCAAAAATACTACACAATCTTTTTGCAAACAGAAATTGCCAGTCTCAAACATTGGCAAAATACACCTCTTAGTGACGCTGTACTTATACAGAAAAGTTTGAGTTCAGACAAAATTGACTTTCCTGCGGGTCAGATGGATGTGTGTGCATTAGATTAGTCCCCTGTTGCCATTTGGGAATGTTGTAAAAGAGATCTTCCTCATGGAAGATGGGAGATGTTTACTTCTGACATGGCAGAAGCCAGTTGCTTGTCCTTAGGAGCCCAGGGGAGCCCTGTGCTGTAGGGAAGCCTCTCAGACAGAATTTAGGATTGCAAAATCTCTACCTGCTTTAATTAACAAGTTGCATAATGCTTCATTGGGCAGAGAATGCCTGAATTGCGAGTTTGTGCAGAAAAAAAAAAACAAGTAGGTGGGTTAAAAAAGTGACACTTCCATAATGAACTTCAATATCTGACATGGCAATTTGAACACGTGTGTCTGATTTCACTGTGGTTTTTTCAGCCTCTCCTACTCAGCCATGTACAACATTAATACTGGGCAGGTCTGTGTTGCAGAGATGTTGTGGAAGTGCCTGTGAGGAAATGCCTGTGAGTCAGAGGGCTGCATGACAGACATCCTCTGTGCCATCACAGAGGCTTGGAGCACCTTTGCTGCCAGGCTGATGTTGGGAAAGGAGCCCTGGAGTTCAGTCATACCCACAATTCCCACCTGTTCAGTCCTCATCAGTGATCACCTTTGACTTTCTTCCTCCTGATCCACACAATTGTGTCTTTCTCCTCATTCTGGGTGTACTTGACAGGAAATCCAGTCTGAAAAAAAGAAAAGCAAACCACAGGAAGCTTCTTTGCTCAGCCCTTCCAAGTGCTGCTATTTTTTAGCATATATCTATATACCAACAGAACTGCTTGACCTTGAATGCTTTTGAAGTTTAGAAGTGGTCAGATAACATTTGCCTTTCAGTTTTGTTTGCTTTCCTGGCTAAGACTGCACGAAGAGCCGCCCTGCTCACACAGGAGAGGTTTCACTTGTGGCATGTCTAGCCAGGAACACACACAGCAGTGCCAGGGGACTCAACAGGAAAACCCAGTTGTGTGAGGCTGCCAGCCTGCATTTGCAAAGAGACAGTTCAGAGGGTTCAGACAGATCTCCAGGTCTCTTATGCTTTTCCAAACCATAATTCTAAATATTCTGACAATTATCCATGACTAGACAAATACTCTTGCAGTCACAGTAAGCCAATGAGGTTAGCCTGTTCTGTGAGTAATCATCAATTTAATGTGTGTTTAGGACATCTGAATTCTCACCTTTCTTTGAAGCACTCTGAAACTCATACTGACACATCCCCTTTGTGTCAGGGATGAAATTTGTGATTATTTGCCATTGAAGTTGACCAAATCTCCTACTTTAAACACGAGCTCTCCTTTGAATGTTAGATTGCATTTAGACCTTATCACTAACTCTTTCCAATCTTTAAAAAGTCTCTAAAATCAACTTACTTCTGCTTGTGGAGCTATCTATCAGCTGCCAGCTCTCTGCCTCCTCTGTCCAGAGCACATTCCCAGCTGGCAGTTGCCACCAGAGACCTCCCCACTATCCTCTCACCGTGTCAGGGCTGTAAAGGTGATCACGAGCACCATCTCCACCTTCCCAGGTACTTCTGCCTTGGGGCTTCTCTGTGGCTGAGATGGTGCCAGGAAATTACCACAGAGCACGGCAGTGAGGAGACCTCTAGAACAGAGACAGAGGATGAAACCTCCTGAGCAAGCTCAGCTATGGGAGGAGGAAGGAGGGCTCTGGAAAGTACAGCAGAAGGCACCAGCAGCTCCCACAGCCAGCAGCTGCTCATCCCTGCAGGCTTGCACATCCTTGTTTGCAGTCACACCTTAGCTGGGAAGAGGGAATGTGGGCTGTGTTTGTGTGTGCGTTGCTGGGGCAAAGGGAGGAAATTCTCTAGACCTTCTCTAAGATCTTTGGGACCTCCAGTCAGTGACAGGGAAAAATCCCTGTGCTGGCTGCAGTCCTCCAGGGGCTGCACCTGCAAACTGTGCAAACTGCTTTAGGAAAGGGCTGGAGCCAGAATGAGCTCCTCATTTCTGTCTTCCCAAGGCTGTGAAGTGACTCACCCTCCCTGGGAGCTGTTCCTGAGGACGGGAGTGGGAGCGAGGTGTCAGAAACTGAACTAAAAACAAAAGTTAGGTTCGGGCCCAGGAAAATTTCCTGCTGCTGCTGTGGGTGGATAATGACACAGCCTCCACAGACACAAAGCAGAGCCTCTGAGAACTGAGGCAGAAGGGTGAACACAGGCCAGGACTATTTAAAACTGAAAGTCTGTGCTTTGAGTTTTTATACTTGAAAGACCTAATTATGGGGACTTAAATCCTGTCAGAGCAGCTACTTCAGATGACTGAGTGCAGGGTTTCTCACAGCATGGAGGAACATTCCCAGGTTGCTTCAGACAAAATATTTCAGGACTTGATCCTTTATCCCTTTTCACACAGTCAAACGTCTCTCCATGCCAACAGCTCATGGAGATCAAGGCTAGTCCACCAGAAATAGCTCCTCTGCAGAAGCTGATCACTGAGTTGGTTGAAAGGGTTTGGTCTGAGTCTTTTGCTGTTACATGGGATGGGCCATGAAGGACAAAGACAGCTCACACACAAAGGAGCAGCACAGCTGGATGCACCTCCAGCAAGAGATGGAAGTTATATCTGCTGCCTGTTAGGGTGGATTTGAGTCAAGCCTTTTAATTCCCTTCAGCAACAGTAGGACTGTAGTGAGCCCTTTCTCTGCCAGATTTCAAGCTCTTGGGGGTTATTAGAAAAGAAATTCACTAAATACTGCTCTGTGTCAAGCTTTGCCTGTGACTGGACAGGAGGATACTGTTGGAAGTAGATTTGTGCTGCAGGAAAGTACCAGTGTTGCTAAGAACAGTCATGACCTTGTTCCAAATGGTTGCTGGTGTTATAAAACCGAGATTTGCCTACATGCTGCAGCAATCTCCTTGGTTTAAAGAACCTCCCCTGTTTTAAACTCACCTATCCCACAACAAAATGCTCTCCCTCCCCTAAAGCACAGGCGAGAAACCTTTCTGTGAGTCACCAGGACAGCTCCCACACGTGCTCCCTTGCCCACATGTGCTCCCTTTCCCCTGCTGTCAGAAGCAGGATCTAGGCAGGGCCACACGTGAGCTTTGCTTTTAACAGAGCAGAAGATCACATTCCCATCCAGTGCAGGTCATGGCAGATTTTCACTCTGGACCCCTCTCAGCTGTCCAGCACTAACTCCATGTGCTGAGGATGCTGTGCTCTGTGTGGGCTCAGATATGGATCTAGACAGGCATAGTCCCAGCAGGATAACTCCCTGGGAATGGCTTTAAGCATAATTAATAGTGACATGGGATGAAGCATATCTAGTCTGTCTGAAATCTCCCATTTATGTCAAGGACTCTTTCTGTACAGGTATGCAATAACCCGCCCACATTTCTCTTGTTGCAAAGCTGATTTTATCTTTCTCGTACTTTACTGGGCAATAGCTCAGTACTGAGCTTCTTACACAAAGAAAAGCTGCAAGTTTTAACCCCTCAAGCTTCCCCCTTGTTAGAGAAAACAATCCCCTGTTCTTCAGCCTTTGCCTGTAGGTCACAGTTTTGAGTCCTTTCATCATTCTGGCTGCTGTGCTTTAATCTCCCCAGTTTGTCTCTGTTCTCTCTAATTGAGCCACAGTGGTCTAGTTGAGGATTTTCCAGAGTGGGCCAGAAAAGAGTAATTATCTCCTGTCTCACAGAGAGCCTCATATTTTTCGTGCATCTTTGCTTTTTGATCCATTGTAACTCCAGGCCCTTTTTTGCTGCACTGCTGCCAACCTACATGTTCCTTGTTTGTGTCTGTGCCTCTGATTCATTCTTCGCAAGTTTAGTATTTTTCATGTGTATGTAATCAATTACATCTTGCAAAGTTGGGTTAATTTATGATTTTCTTTCAAGATTTTTAATTTATCTATTGGGGTATTCTTGTAGCTAGCAAATTTTTAAAGTATTCCATCTTGTTAATTGTCCAAACTGTTCATAGAAATGAACAGTAGCTCTGGAGTAATACTAGATCAAAAGCAGAGTGCCACAGTACACATTTCAAATGTCTTCTCAGTTTGGTATAGCAGCTGATTATAAGACACCTCTGAGGACAGTTACATGACATACCCTGCCCTGTCAATGAAACCCAAACAATTTTGTAGACATATGCTTTGTCAATGAGGACTTCCAGGTTTTCCTGTGCAACTGTCAGCATTAGTGGCACTCACAGAAATAATAGCACTGGCTGATGGAACAAAATTTGTCATGTAGAGATTTCTTCCTGTGAGTCTGAAACACTCCTCACTGTGTCTGTGGCACTCAGTCAGGACAAGCCTGGCTGGCACTTTTTGTCCTCAGCCAAGCCAGTTGTCAAATCCCAACTTATCAGGTTCATTGAAGGACCAAGGAAAAGGATGAGATTTCCCCCCAAAACAAATAATTATTTTTGTTTTAAATCACTTGAACTGTCCTTTCCATATCCCTGAAAATGTTCAAGACCAGGTTGGATGGAGCTTTGAGCAGCCTGGTCTAGTGGAAGGTACTCCTGCCCATGACAGCGGGGCTGGAACTGGATGATCTTTAAGGTGCCTTCCAGTCCAAACCAAACCATTCAATGAACTCACAAGCCAATCTGTTACCTTGCGAATGCTCAGAAAGGGTATTTGTGACCTTTACTTGTAAATGTTTGGAAACCATTCATGTATCAGACTGGTGGATGATGAAAAATAATTTAATGTATATTGGTCCTGCTGTTGTGTTGATGGATGGAGGCTGGACAGCTGAGAAGAAAACTGCCTCTAAATTCTGTGAATTGGCTCAGGGGAAACGTATTGGTGATAAAGGCAAACTGAGCTTGAGCTGTGAGCAACTGAACATGCTCAGGGTGGAGAATTTCCTGTAGAGTGGGGTAGGGTGAGCAGAGCAGAGGACTGAGCCTGGAGCATCATTTATGGTTGTCCAGGGTCACTGTATTCCCCTAGGGACAGGTGGAGTGTGGCTCTTGCTGGAGCCTCTTAGGGGGTTTCTGGGACTGTTTCCCTCTGTGGGTGCCATGGACTGTTTGTCATGGCTTGATGGAGGAGCACTTGTGCAAGAATCACTCTGGCTGCCATTTTCTGGTACTGCCATTTTCTGGCACTGCCATTTAGTTAACATTTTTAAATGTACCTTTGTAACTCATGTGCTTGTTGCTGCTCAGTTGCTTCAAACAGGACTTGAAGTTCTGCTGATTTGCAACTCAGTTCTTGTTGAAAAACAAATTTGCAAGAGTGGTTTAGATCCAGGAGTGCTCAACGTCACCAATCCCCATGGTCTGGAGAAATGCCTTTCTGTCTCAAAGGTTAGGGCTCATCCCTTTGCCTTCATGTAGTAACTTTATATTTTTAAGTGGGGTGTTAACTGTAATCACCCCTAGTTCAATAAATTTGGTACTAAAAAGAACTCTGAAAGAAAAATAGTAGGCATGAAAATGAAATCCAGGAGCCCAGGCAATCTTGTGAAACCTGGGTTCTGCTCTGGTCTCAGAGCAAGGAGACCCTCAGGCACAGAACATGGCTGGGCATCCTTCTGGCCAGTACCTGAGTCAAGTTCCTCTTTCATCCCCTATTGCAGATAAGTATGGTACATGGCTCCTTGAATAAATTTGGTACTAAAAAGAAAAATAGTAAGCATGAAAATGAAATGGAGCCCAGGCCATCTTGTGAAACCTGGGTTCTACTCTGGTCTCAGAGCAAGGAGACC